CGCGGGTACGGGGAGGCTGAGTTTATATTTGCGGGGTCACACGTGAGTGGGGAATATTCCCCTAAATTTTCAGCTTCCTAGCTTTCGTGGTTCCCGAATTGAAAGTTGTTGACAAGTTGCTACGGACACACACACACACACACAACCCGTGACAATATGTGTTTTGTACTGCTGTTACACAGCACAAAACGCATAAAAGGCTCTAAAACTGAATTGGATCTTCACGTCCATTCCTACTGGAAAAGAGGAAAAATAAAAGGGTAGCGAAAAATTTTTCCCGGATATCATTTTACAGTAAAATATTTCCGAGAAATCTGACAAAAGCAAAAAAAAAAGCAGGAAAAACAAACATGCTGCGGATGAGAGTTCATCGGGAGATTCGGGAAGGCGCCCAAAGCAGCTGCCTGCTGCGACAAAAATCGTGCTCGAATCATCTGTGCCTGAGTCACATCGCCACGCATCATTGCAAGAGCGAACTGTCGCTGATGCTCCGCTTGCGATGCAACCAGAGCCTGCGCACGCATAGCTGCTGTCATTTGTGGATTCGGTCGCCAGCTATTCACGGACAGGCCGTTCTGCATGGCCGCAATCGCCTGCGCATACTGCTGCTGTTGCTGTTGTTGTTGTTGCTGCTGCTGTTGCTGCAGCACAAATCTGGCCATCAAATCATTTGCACTCTTTGGAGTGACGCTACCAACCACAGCATCATTGTGAACTGAAATAAAGAACTAAAAAATAACTGGCCAACGCATGGGTTGCCCGTGCGAAGATGCGTTTTTTGCATAGTTCACCGCAGTTTCGGTTGCTACCGGCATCGGCTTTTTCAGCAAATACTTCTAGCTAAACAAATTAAGACTGGCCGCCAGGACTGTCAGGAAACATCCCCTTAAAATTTCAGCTTTCTAGCGTCCCACCCGAGTTACGAATTTACGCGGGAGAAATTTTGGCGAGCTCGTACGCGGGTACCACGCTTACTCGGGGGTTGGTTTTGGTTCTCATTAGCTCCTACTTGGAAGGGGAACATTCCCTTAAAACTTCAGCTTTCTAGCATCTCACATCCCCGAGTTATGAATTTACGCGGGAAAAATTTTGGCGGGCCCGTACGCGGGTACCACGCTCACCCGGGGGTTAGGTTTGAGCTCATTAGTATATACTTGGACGGGGAACATTCCCTCAAAATTTCAGCTTTCTAGCTTTCCTGATTCGCGAGTTATCAACTTACCCTAAAAAAATTTCGGCGGGCTCTTATGCAGGTACCACGCGGGTGAGACCACCCATTTTGGGGACGGGGGCCCGTACGTGCATGAAGATTATGTCCCCAAAGTTACAGCCCTGTAGCTTTTGCTGGCCTCGAAATGAAAAATCGGTACAGACGAACACACA